ATAAAACCAAACAGTTTAAAAACTAGAGTTTAACAGGCAGATCTACAGGAAAGCAAAGGGTTATTAAGTCTGAGAAGCAGACCGTCCGTCTATTTTTAAAGCATAAACACAGAGGTAGGAGGAAGGCTGAGATGGACGGACAGACGAGCAAGATCCAGGAAGATGCGCTTACCTTCACCCAGAGAGGCGTGGATGGGAGGAGAGACCAGCGGGACGAAGGTTTCCAGGTCAAAGCGGCCGGTTCTGGACTGTGCTTTCAGCAGCCAGTAGCGCTTCTCCAAGTCGATGATGTCAGACTCCTCCACTGCAGGATGAGATCAGACATGGTTCATCAACATGGCGACAGACCTACGGGCGCGTTTAATTAACAGGAACACAGGTTTGCTGATGGCAGCGGCATCCAGTGATTAATGGGACATTTAGCACCAGCTGCTGAACTTCTAAAGCAACAGGCTCCCTTCACTATGTGGTAAACATCAATCGGCTGCTGAAGCGACACAGAGGGTCTGGGGCCCCGGGGCCACGCATCATTATTTGCACACGGTCTGCTTCTCCAAGGAATGCCGTAGAAATCCGCTGCTGTGGTGAACTTTCTGACTGATTTCTGCCATCACACGTGGAAGACGAGGGCTGCAGGAACACCATGGAGGAATCTTTGGTTTGAGCCGGATTACGTTTCCCTACCGCTTCGTTCTTAGCGTCTGATCATCAGAACGATGACCTCATTGGTCATCGTGCTGTCATTGGAGGCGGTTCAGTACCAAGGTTCTGGCATATCACCTGTTTTTGGCTTTTATTCTTAGAACGGTCTGGTTCTGTCAGAGCAGACATGTTCTACAGATGTTCATATGAACTTAGAGGAACTTTCAGTGACTGAAATAACTCCACCAATCTGTGAGCTCCGAGTCCAGGAGGAGGTGAGCTGGGCCCTCCGCTGTATTATTGGTTTATAGGCAGAGAGCATGATCCAGCTGCCTTTCCACCAGGAAGAGGGCTGATTAATAAAACCATCAGCCATTGATGAAAGGAGCCAGAGTTTCCAGGAGAAACATGGTGGAGCCCCCAGCATGCACAGAATATCATTCCCTGATAGAGAGTAGAATGGACCCACTGCGGGACCACAGACCCTCAGTAGAACCACGGACCCTCAGTAGAACCACGGATCCTCAGTAGAACCACGGACCCTCAGTAGAACCACGGACCCACAGTAGAACCACGCTAACAAGCTACAGTTCAACGCTGTTCAGTATGAGCAGCAGTAGGAGCTACGTTCCCCACCTTCACCATCCAACCACGACTGCTGCTGGTTCAACAACCATCCAGTCAGTTCTGTTCTGCAGAGTTCATGATAGAAAACTGAAGCCAGTGATCAGCATGCTTTGATCAATACCCAGACTGGTGGGGGGGGTCAGATAAATATAGAGTGGCGTATGAAGCTCTGCTACAGTCACTGAAGCAGTCTCTCCCTTTCAACATGCTAATCCCCAGATTAAGCTAATAGGATTGAGCAGCTAGCCTGATGCCGCGGCTGCTTCCATGACAGGTGTCAAAATACAGACATGCAATCAAATTACAGCCTTTTCCTGGTAGGGTACAGACCCCCCCACCTGTCGGCTACTGGTCCCTGGACTGGCTGGGGACGCCACAGCATAGCAGGACGGGCCCAGCTCACATGGAGAAAGGCAGCGGCTCCAGGGAGCCACGCTGAGGCCCATGGATGCGGGCTGATCAATTATTGAGGGAGATGGATGGAGAAAACACTTCCCACTCAGAGTGCAGCTGGAAGCAGCAGCCTCAGCAGAACAAAGCTGCAGTTCCTCGTTGGAGATCATTAAACTGGTGTGTGAACACATGGATGAGGAACAA